CAACGAAAGGGGAAATCACCCTCGGCCAACGTGGTTGGCATGACCCAAAATGACAAATTCCATGTCATCGAAGAAGACACAAGGTACAAGACTTTCTCAGAAGGCCATGGATACACATCAACCCTTCATCAAATGATGAAGTTTCTAACGAAGGATGGAATAAAAATCATGTATGGGGAACAACATGCAGCGAGGGAAATGTTCGCGGTGCACGATGTGGCATCGACATCAACGCCTCCTACATCTAAGGAGCCAAAGGATAAGCAAATAGTGAACTAGCAATCACGAGATTTATTCTCGGCTACTCCCGAATAAAACAAGCAAAGGACCATGTCGTGTCCCCGAAGCAAACGTTTGAAGCATATCGAGGCTCAAAGCGCCATCACCACTAAGGTATGACCATCTCCCCTTTTATTTACATCTTACACTAACCTTTGTGTGGATGCCCGGTTAGAACAGTCGAAGCGCTGTCCAGCTCGAAGACCTTAAGGTTGCAAATCATATGTTGTACTCTTTTCCTTCGATCGGGTTTTATCCCAATAAGGGTTTTACCGACAAGGTTTTTAATGAGGAAATATCTATATGCTATCTAAGGAGAATTTCACAAGTGTTCAAGGCTTCTTTTCAATAAACCTCGATTGTTGGGGGGCATCCCCCGGAGGATCACATTCTCGAAGAAGTCAAGATGAGCCAAAAAGTGTCTCAACAGGAAAATTATGTATCGGGCCAAATGGTCGAATGCACCGTGTCCCTATAAAATAAATTGAGCCCCTGACGGAAAAAACATGTATACTTGTTCAAAGTAATCAAAGAATATTTTCTTCTCCATCAAAACGCTTTACGCTTCAAAGAAGAATGCTACTTTTACAAGAAACGGCTTTAGAGATAGATATTTCCCGAACACTCAGGGACTGATGCCAAAAACTCGAGGCCACATGACCTCCGGTTCGGAAACTTCGAACTCATAAGCCCTCAATAAGGCAATACCAAGTTTACAAGGAATGGCTCGAGAGATAAGAAACTATCGACACTCGAGGACTGTCGCCGACTGTCACCTCCATCGATTTGTCGAAAACCTGAGGCTATAAGACCCCATGCGGGTAACCCCGAACTCATAAGACCTTCATAAGGCAACACAAAATCTATAAGACCTCAAGTAAGGCATGAATTATACTTGTACCAAGTAACCAAATCTGTAAGACCTCAAGCAAGGAGTGAATTAAACTTGTACCAAGCAACCAAAAGGCTTAAAAGGCTTCGGCCAAATGCAATGACTCCGGTCACTAGGCTCCGTCCAAACTCACGCAACTCGGGGATGCCCGACCGTTGCTATAAAATCACAGGCCTTCAATTACTTCGAAAAAACGTCAAAAAGAACCGGTTAATCAGGCTACCCTCGGTATAAGAAAAAGAGCTTCGATCATATCAGCTCCAAACAATAGGCTTTGAAACAACTCAGCCATCAAGAAAAACCACCCGAGGTGCTCATTTATCACTACATAACGACTCGCAATCGAGGCTCTTATCAAGATGTCGAAGAGTTAGGTGAACAAAAAAACTTCAAAAAGTCTTTAGGGAGGGAAAAATAAAGCCTATATTAGAGGTTGTACCGACCCAACGCATAAGAGCACTCTCGCTAGACTATATTAAGAGGTCATCCCAACCCAACGTGTAAGAGCCACTGTCGCCACCATATATTAAGAGGCCATACCGACCCCACGTGTAAGAGCCACTATTGCCAGCCTATATTAAGAGGTCGTACTGACACCACACGTAAGACCCTAAGAGCCACCTTAAAATTCAAAAACTTAAGGGTCAATGAGCTCGAGTAGAAATCCGACTCGGAGACTGAGCCCAAAATAGTTAGCTAAGAATTCCTAAGGACAAATGCATAACAGCCTACGATCCAGCCTAACAAGCCCCCAGGTCGAATTATAAACCTAAGGGTTTTTACTCAAAGGCCAATTCGTCTGGCTAATCATTGACAAAACGTCAAAACTCAAGAGAAAGAAAGACATACACAAGTAAATGGAAATTTATGAAGGGAGAAAACCGAAAGGTTTCTTAATATATGCACATATGAAACAATGCAAGGCTACACTTGCAAATGCTCTCTAATAGCCATGTACAAAAAATCAAAAAGAAAAAGTCTAGTCTACGTCCCCCTTGGGGACTGTGGCCCGTCGACCTCTTCTTCATCATCTTCGGCATCGAACAAAAGGAATTTGGTGTCATATTCGTCCGCCTTTGCCTACTTTATCTCTTCCAAGAGATTAAAGCCCCTATCATGGATCTCCTAGAGGGTTTCCCTCCGAGATTTGAACTGAGCATATTCGTTGCTTCTTCTCTCTTGATCGGAAGCCCCTCTCAGATCAGCTCGAGCGTCAGCAGCATCTTTGACAGCCACTTTCTTGTCGGCCTTAGCCTGAATCTTTTCAGCTTCAGCCCAGGCGTCCACGACCTCGGCCTTCATCTCCAAAAGGTCAAACTAAAGCCTTGCAATCCTGCTCATCTTAACTGAGTTGTTCTAACAGGCGTTCCGGAGCCGCACCTTGAGGGCAGAAACCTTGGCTAGAGCATTCTTCTTGGCAACAACATGGCCATCTATCTGAGCCCTTAGCTCGTTACACTCGTGCTTGGCCTGGCCAACCTTTCCCCAAAGGAATTCCAAATCCTTTGTCTTGATCTGCAACTGAGGTATCAAAATGTTAATCTCTAAGGATAGAAGAAAGAGCATGCATTCCCTCGGAGAAAAAGCTACATGTTTCTCAAAGTGGCTTTTCTAGTTTCGGCTTCGACTTACAAATAAGCCTGAGGGATTTCTCTCTATCTAAGTCTCTCCTTAACCGGGCTTCACAGTGGAACAGCTCAGACTTGAGTTTGTCAAAGGTTTATGAAAAAGAAGCTCAATGAGAAAATGAAAATGTAAAATCAGAAGATCAACAAAGTCGACCAAAGCTTACCATAGAACAAAGCCGTTGATCATACTCAAAGGTTGAGCGTGCATCTACTGGCCTGGTCTCACTGGCCCCAGTTGAACCAATCTCAGTGGGGACTTGGTCGCTCGAGACCGCGCTTGATTATGGCAGCCCCTGGTCTCGAACGTCCCTCGAAGCACCTTCGACGGGGGGTGAAGACGACGACTGAATTCCTGTATCCCTTGAAGTTCCTTCGATGGGGGGAGAGGACGACGGCTAAACACATGTATCCCTCGAAGTACATTCGGTAGGAAATGAAGATGTCGGCAAGCGAGGAACCACGTTTCCAAGGCTAGAAGCCTCAGATGCCGCAAGATCAGCAAATATATCTTCTTTGAGCCTTTGATCAAGGCTTGCCTCTCTATGAGCACCCTCGTCCTTCGAGGACTCCTTCTGTTTGTTATCAGTCCTCGACCCCAAAGTTTACGATTCTTCCTCCTCCCTGAGGGGAACAACCTCATCTTAGAAAAATCTCCAATGCCTGCGGTGACAGAGTTAGTACACATAAAAGAAAGTACCTTTCAAAGAAAGCAAGCCACACACCACGTACCGTGATGTTTTTCCTCCCATCTACCCTTGGCTAGATCTTGCCACATACGCTCATCGTAAGTCAAGCAAGCTACTAGTTTCCGAGACCAATCCACCAGGTCGGGAACCTTATATGACATCCACGGGATTGCTACAAAAAGGAACGGAAAAAGAATGCATCTTTAGAAATTCCGCCTCTACCATGGTCAAAAATAATAAGAACACAAGTGTACTAATTATGTGTGAAATTCTATTTCTCAGTAAATGGAAGGAACTTAGAGGGGATAATATCGACAGTCCGCACTCGGATGAAATGACTCATCCACCCTCGGTCCCAATCTTCTTCATTGCGGGCAAAAAAGGGTTGAGTGGATCTACGTTAAGAGTAATCAGGCCTCGATGATGCAAGGGCCGGAACAGTCTAAGAAGATGGCTGAGGGTAAACTCGAGCCCGACTTTATTTTCAAATAACTTCATCATCAACACTATCCTCCAAAACGACGGGTGAACCTATGCCAGGGTAACCTGACACCTTCTATAAAATTCGAGCACAACCCTACCGAGAGGGACCATCATAAAGGGGTACGTATATACGTTCAAAAACCCCTCGACATGAGCCATAATGCTCTCTTCTGGGGAAAGTACCTGCAGTACAACTTTTTCTCCCCATCCGCAGTCTTTTCTAACTTCCTCGAGGTACTCCTCACCTATTGAGGAGATAAACCTTGATGCATGATCCCGATGGCCCTGAACATTGGGAGGTCTCTCTAACACAAAGACCTGCATCGTGACAAAGCACCTCAAAGTTAGTTCACAAGATACCGGCGGTGTACCATTGACCAAGCGCAAAGCAGAGGCAAAACTCTCCTCTCCATGGTGAGCGGGTTTGGCTGTAGCAGCCATGACTATGATAAAATAAGAAAAAGGAAGGTAAAGGCTTGGGAGAAAGATTTTAAAATAGTGAGAGAACTAGCACAAAAAAGAGGTCTATAAAAGAGATAGTTAGTCAAAGTGGTGAAGTCCTCAGATAAGGGATAAGTAAAAGCATATATAGTGCAATCGACGACTGTTAGCCTATCTTGAAGGCCAATTGATTTTGATCATGTCAGTGCCATTTTTGGGGAAGTGTACCGGTGGGACCAACCCAGTCGCTTCACAACCATGGCACATAAATGATACTGTCAGACAACGCTCGGGAGCCGTTGAGACCCCAAGGATTTTTGTTATTACAAGCATCGATCCTAAAAAGCTATCGACCTAATCTCGAGATGGTGCCCGATCTCGAGGGTCCTGATTACTCCAAGTATGGGCTCCGAAGATACAACATAGAAATTCATAGGCTAACTCCGTGTGAACGCTGAAATATAAAATTCAAAGACTAGAAGCAGAAAAATCTTCTTACATTACCAAAAATATATTTACAACGGGAGTCTTTACAAGACCTTTTTCCCTTGAGAAATTCATACACAAAAAATAAAGGAAGATGACGTGGGTCTATTCTTCGCCATCACTACTCTCTAGATCATCTCCAAAACTCTCATCCGATGTGGTCGAGAATGATGATGACTCCTCCGAGTCTCGGGCTTTCTCAATCTCAGTAGAGAGATCGGTGCCTTTAGCGCTTGCTTCCTCGAGAGCCATCCTCCTTGCCTTTGAACGAGCGTAAGTGATAGCCCAAGTCAGCTTCTACTCGGCCTTCTCTGATATCTCTCGGGCTCATTCATTCATAGTAGCGACATCTTTCATGTATAAAGACGCATTTTATTCGGCCTCATACTTGGCCACAGATAGTGCAACAGCCTCCTCTTGAGCACTTTGAAGAAGACCCTAGATCGATGTCAGCTCCGTCCGCAAGAGTTCTCTCTCCCAGGTCATGACCTTTTTTTTCTCTTTCAGCTCGAGGATCTTCATATCCTTGGCTGCAACCTCTTCTCGAAGTAGCCCCACTAGGGCATCTTTTTGCCCAATCTGCAAAGGCAAAAAAAGTCGGTGAGCATCAAGTTATGAGAAATAAAAGACAAGTTCATGGATAGCATGATACCTGTTTAGCGAGGCCAGTCCTTTCCCGGTGCACTCCCTTCAAATTCGCCCAAAGCCTGCTCAACTCCTCCCTTTTTGGGTCAGAGGAGGCCTTCAACTCCTTTAGCTCCAAGATGAGTTTCTCGATCTCCTTCCCACATCATGAAATCTTGTCCCGAAGCCTAGAAAAGGCATGATCATACATCTTCTTGGCCTGCAACAAAGCAGGGAGGTTAGGAAAACAAAGGAAAAAAAATTTTGAAGCGTTAAAGATATGCCAAAGATTGTCGCCTGCTGTTGGAGCATCTCCGCATCCTCGAGAGCGATGGGAGCATCGAGGTCAATGTCCTCGTCGACACCGTCGAAGAGGTTTTTGAGTACATCTTCCCCTCTATGAGAAGCCCCGATATCGGCGGTATCCTGGTCCTGTGAGTCACTAATTTCCCCCGGTGAGTACGAATGGCCCAAATTAAAGCCACCCAAGGCATTAATTTCTCTAAGGGTCTCATCTTGCCCCCGAGAAGCTTCGGGTTTAAGACCTCTAGAGTCACCAGCAGTGGGTTCATTGGTGCAAACTATACCATGTTTGACTTGAAACTAGGGGACTGTGCCCGCACCCTGCTCGAGGGTCTCCTTAGCACGTGTTTGGTCCATACCGACAATCCCCGATTTGGTAGTTTTCTGCCCAGTAACTTGCGGAGAATCTACGCCTCATCCCATCCTTTGTACCAAAAGGTCTTCATCATTATCACCTTCATCCTCGATATAGGGAATTGCCACAACTGCCGAAGTCGACACCTTGGCGTTAGTCCGAGGCTTGCGAACTTTAGGTGTCTCTGCCTTGAGAGACTCAGCCAATGCCTCTTTTTTCCTCTTCTTGACCTTGCTAGGCTTCGAGGTCTCGTCTTCACCATCAGGAGACAGTCTCATCAACACTCCATCCCCGAGGCCTACACAAGCGTGATGCATCAAACTTACCACCATAAAAATATTCATAAGGAAAGATGGTACAGATAATAGTAAAGAGCATACCGTTGTTCTTAGCCTGCCACCGCGTTTCGGCCAAATAGTGCCAAGAACGATCGAGATATAGGAAAGTGGAATCCAACTATCTGATCCATCCCTATAGGTTTTGAACCGCGCCAGGGTACCAAATGGTGGCTATATAATCAAAGGAAGATCATTTTTTCATAAGGGGATAAAAAGGCACTAAAATATGTTTGAGGTAAGGGCACTTACGTTTCATATTCTACTCCTTCGGGAATGTCATCCTATTAGCCGGTATAATGTCCGAGGTCCTCACTCGGACAAATTGGCTCATCCACCCCTAATCCTTGTTTTCATTGATGCTCGTAAAGTAAGGCCTCGCGGATCGAGGGTGAAGCTTGATCACACTCTAGAAGAGACGAGGGCTGTATAATCTGACCAAGTGATTGAGGGTGAAGGTCATACCCTCAACATGGTTGGAAAAGTATCGGAACATACGCACGATCCTCTAGAAAGAAGGATAGATCTTATCGAGCGTCAATCAATACTCATGGCAGAAATCGAGAATCACCGGGTCTATCAGCGGGGAAGAAGGATTCGAAGAATCCGCGGGGCCTAAAGTAAATGGGTATGTATACACACTAGGGAGCATTTGGGAAGTGGAAAGGTTGAACCAATTGCAGTTTATGGGCTTCTCGATAGGCGTGTTGACAACGACCCTTACGCAGTCTTTTGAGTCTTGGCATTTAATTCTCTAATAGGCTAACGTCACGGAGGTATTATCGAAGAGGTAAGAATTCAAGATCATTTCTTGCAATTTTCATTCTAAGAAACGCGAGGACTTTTTGTATGCGAAAAAATAGGAGGGTACGATTTTATAGTCATCATGGCACTTCGTAAGGACTACCGCTAGAAAGCTCGAGGTTTAGTCCAGGGTTCGACCCCGCAGGTTCTCAATGATCGACCTCGAGGAAATGCAAATCAATGGTTGTGATGGACAAAAAGGAAGTTCCCTAGGCACGTGACTAAAGTTGATCAAGTATATTAGGCTAGTTCAAGCCCGTACCATGGCATTAAATGTCTTTACCGGCCTCAAATCCTTGCAATAAATGTGTCTATGCTATGTTGGAATTCCCCGTCATGTATAAAGGTGACTCCTGTCATTTTGTAACACACATAATATCAGATATATAACATTCAATAGAAGAACAAGAACATTCTTTTCTCTCTAACTTATACACATTCTCCTTTGATTCTATTACTTACATTTATTGTATTTCATTAATTGTTCTTCATTTATTACTCATTATTGATCTTAAAGAGCCTTCATCAATGCTCTCAAAACTATTAGTCCTTCATCCGCTATCCTCAGCTTCGTATCTATCTCGACCTCGAAGCCCCGTATAATCTGGCTCAAGGCCCCGATTCTTAACCACTCGGTTTACTTAAACATACTGCTTTCAAAATTCTTATCTCATTTTCTAATCTCACACTTAGCATCTACTACTTAACAACAAGCATAAAAATAAATCATGTATTTTTAGAACCACAAAAGCAAATCTAATTGTAATTACCATTTTCAACGTAAACACATGACACTATAAGTATTTCACAGTTTACATAGTTATCCAGAATTGCAGGTTGAGTCATTTACTCTATATTTCTTCCATGTCTTTTATGTACTTTTTTATGTGCCTTACATACTCGGTACATTATTCGTACTGACGTCCTTTTTGCTTGGGGATGTTGCATTTCATGCCCGCAGGTCCCGATAGACAAGTCGAGAGTCCTCCAAGTAGTCTATCATCTCCATTGAAGATGTTGGTGCACTTAATTTGCTCCGGAGTTGCTTATTTAGTCAGTATGATTTAGACGGGTATTGTTTGGTATGGCGGGCCCCTGGCCTGACCTTTATGTTAAGTGTGTACTCTTAGAGGCTTGTAGATTAATGTCATGTATATGAATGCTTGTATGGCCTTGGCGGCCTATGTTTTGAGTTTACAAATGATCATGTTGGCCTTATAGGTCCGTATATCACATGTATAATTTTTTTATACCAGGTTAGGTTGTCCTATATTGAGTATTCTTCTATGTTTATTATGGTTAGCCCATAATGGCATGTTTGGCCCATTTGCCAACGAAAGTACAATAAGAAAGAAGAGTGATGTTGGTACATGGTTATGTAAGGTACTGGGTGCTCATTGTGGCCCATAGGTTTGGGTCATGAAAAAAGGTGTATCAGAGTAGTTCTATCCTAGGGAGTCTACAAGTCGTGTCTAGTAGAGTCGTGTTTATGGGTGTGTCGTGCACCACACTTATAATCAGGAGGAAATAGGACATGTAGGACTGTCACTCTTTCTTCTTACTCTAGATCGTGTGGTAGAGCTCACTTATAACTAACTTCTATTTTATTCGTAACAAGACGATAGCTACATCGAGAAAGATGGTTGGTAAGAGATATAGTTGTGGAAGAGTTGAGTTAGAGGAACTCAATTTTGCATCATGCTTATGATAAGTAAATGTATAAGTTCTTCAACAGATCATATGTGTACTAAGATGTGTAAGATTCTCTTGATAAGGAGCCTTAAGACATGAATATTTATCTACCCTTATGGTAAAAAGCAACGAGAGAATCAAAAGGTAGATACAAGTTTCAACAACTAAAAGAAGAAAGATGAAGAATTCAGGAAAAGAGATATAAGTATTTTGAGTTACCTTCAACAGTAGCAGAGGTATGTACAATTGGTCACACTAATCTCAGTTATGCCCTATAGGAGCTAACAGATATAGTTTAAGAGAAGGACGGGTTATCAAGATCTGGCTAGAGTTAGAGTAACCCAAAATAGGGGATGGATTGGAAGAGTTAGTTTACATTTCCAAAGGAAAGTGCAAAAGTGGTAATGGATCTCCTTGTGAGACACCAAGATAGTTCACTCTAAAATAGTACAGCTAGATATGAGTGCTACAAGGATAGGCACTGGAAGCCAAGAAAGGATAAATATTATTTTAGTATGACTCCCATCCCTAGTAGAGAGATAAGGATAGGCAACCCAAAGAGCCAGTTGATGGAGTAAAGGGGAATTAAAAGCAAAAGACTATCTTGTTGAAGTTTTCAAAATAAAGTGATAGACAGAAATGTTGGTAGGATATAGGAAGAGAGCTAATGAAGCATTAAGAGTAAGATGTAATACATGGATTGCAACAGTAAGTCAAAAAGATGATAGTATTACAGAGTCTATAGTCAAGTGAAGGAAAAGACGAGAGGTGACAAGCATTGAGAAAACAAAAGAGTATAGGCCATGAGTCATATCCTCACTTCGGCAAATATGTTCATGACTCCAATGCAACTACCGGAAGGAAAAGTTAGACCCTAGAGTAATATAGATCAGTATGGGCTAGTGAACAATGTAAAATAAACATGAATTAGGGACTGAGTGATTGGATAATACTCGGCATCATGGGAGTTTCAAATTTCATTCCAGTAATAATAGAATAGATAGCAGAAGAAGATTCATGAGAAATTCAGAGAATGGTCATTCAGGAAGACGCTTCTCTAAGGCAAGCAATGTGTGCAAAGTTAAGCTTGAAGGACTATGTGTGCCAGTTACACTAAGTGCCACCCTTGCGAGTAAGGAATTTCGTTATCCTTGGTACAGAAGGATTACCGCAAGGCGAGTAAGGGTCATCGATATTGTGAGAAGACGCCAGTGATGAAGAGGTAAAACATCTATAGGTAGATCATTGTAGCGCTAAATATTAGTACTTCCCTAAAGGGGGGAATGTGGAGTGAGTTGGAATTAAGTCAGAATTAAGTGGTTCTAGTAATTATGGAATGGTAAAGGAAGAACACGATAAAATAAAAAAAAGGATGAGATTACACTTATCCAAAGCCTGCAGATATGCTACGATACTAGAGTATTATGCAAACATAAAGTCAAGGAGAGGAAGTAAGGGTTCCTGCTCGAGATGTTATTGATTAATAAGGAGTCAGTGTGAGAGGTAAGTTAAGACAAAGGAAATAACCCAAGAAAGATTACACATAATATTGATATGGGAATGGGCCAACAAGTAGCTAGTAGTTGATTCAGGAAGAGCCTAACTATAGCTATATAAGAGGATATAGACAAATCAACTAAACGTGCAAGATAAACATAGGGAACCCCAATATGGGGAATTCAACCTCGCAGTTATGGCATCGTGATCCTTGAAATATATCCATATAGGAGTTGGGGAAGTTAAAAAGGTATCGTATGAGTGTTACGGAAATAAAAGGGAGTGCCGTTGTGAAGACAATAAAAATATTAGTTTAGAAGTAACCCTACAATCACAAGGGCATAGAGATAAGTAACTAAGGATAATTATAGGAGAGGAAGAACATCAAAAATTCCGTCAGGCATATGATGTGATAAGCTCGCAGCCTTACAAGAGTCAGAATATCCCCCCCCCCCCCC